ATGGTGAGTGGTGTATGATGAGTGGTGTATTGATGAGTGGTGTATGAATGAGTGGTGTATGAACAGTTTTTGAATGTCCGTAACGCGGAAGTTTCGCACACTAAACTTCCTTTGACAAATTTTGAACGCCTTTTTTCTTGTGGTATGATGATGCGACGCACGTTATTCTGTTGGGCTCAAAAACATGTGAGGTAACAAACTATTCATTACTTCGTTGCAAGCGCGCTTGACTAAATTGTGTTTTTGTTCTTCACGCACTGCCTTTCACAAGCATCGCAGGCGTCGTGCGCAGGAGTCGAAGCAATGCGTTGCCAATTCCTCCGCCTGCGCAGGAAGCACTTCAGGCCCAGTCCTATTAGGGCCATTTCTTCTAGGCTCGTGTTTGTGGGTTGTCAGGTAGGCCAATCGATTGAAGGCCTCCAGTGTCTTGGCGCAGCCTTGGCTCGGAAAGTTTCTACGAACGCCTCCAACCTACCAGCGATGGCCTCCAACCTAATGGTTGCCAGTATGGCTTCCTGTTCCTAATAGCGGTTCCAGGAGCCCATAGTAGCTTCTTGTTCCTAGTAGTACGGCCAGGAGCCCCTAGTAGCGTCCTTGCTCCTAATGGTTTCTAATATAGCATAGGAGATTGTTTTCCCACGAGCGCACAATTGCAACTTCCGTAAGGAACATCAAAGAGGGCGAGGACATGTACTGCGTAAGGTGCTGCGTTTGGCGTCGTGGGGAGCTCGTCAGCTGCTTTCATTTTGGGGTTTGCGTTGGAAGAGCGCCAACAGTTTACTGTTAGGGTTCTCAATACTTTTAAGCGTGTCCGCCTTTTCTAGACTGCTGTGTCCGCCTCGTGCTGCCGACCTCTGCCTTTCAATCCGTTTCATGTGTCTCCCAGTCTGGACTGCTGTGTCTGCCTTCTGACAACTCCTTAGTCCAGTTGGCCAGCAATTCTTTACATTCGCCTCCCAGTCTGCGCTAGTATGCGCCTGGTGGAAGCTCCTCGATAGCCGTTCTATACATTTGGTGCCCAGTGGGCTAGCGTCCTTCTTGGCAACTCCTTAGTAGCAGGTCTCGAAGCCTGGGCTAGCGTTAGATTTGTCTCTGAGCGGGTTCCTTTTTCTGGCTTTCAATGTGTTTCCAGTTTTGGGCTACTTTGTACGCCTGGCAACTCTTTGGTAGCACTTTACATTCCTCTCCACCTTGTTGAGTGACGGCGGCCAACTTGTTGGGGTGTATGGTGTGTATTTTTGTATCACGAATATCGCTACTAGGTTGGAGGCCATCGCTTGTTAGGTTGGAGGCCTTCTCTACCAGGTTAGAGGCCATCGCTTGTTAGGTCGAAGGCCATTGCTACCAGGTTGGAGGCCATCGGTCTTAGGTTGGGGGCCATCGCTCTTAGGTTGGAGGCCACCGCTTCTAGGTTGGAGGCCATTGCTATTGGGTTCCCATCGTTTCATTAACTTCATGGACAAGCGGTGGCTTCCCTGGCGCAAAGGTGCCGAAAGGGGCCCAAAGGTATGTTCAAACTCTCAGCTTTAAAGGCAATTCAGTGACCAGCTGCACAGGTTGGGCAGTTTGCCAATGTTTGCCAAGGCCATGGAGACTCAAGCAAACCTACTTGGCAAAGTTCGAAAATCTCTTGGATGGCCTCCTTTTGTTGTGATGATGGCAGGTCACTAAGTCGTGCCGATTCACCAGACCAAATGCCAGCTGAAAAGCAATTCATCTAAACCGACGTCAACGTTGAATTCCACGCTTGGTGTAGAGTATTCTTTTGTGTCAACTTTGAAGCAGAATGGCTTCAACCGTATCGAACAGGCGCATTTTGGTTTGAGATTGACCCACAATTTAGAAACGATTGGAAAGGACCCGCTAGACATCGCAGTAGATTGATGCTTGGCGGGGGCGAGCGGCTTTCAATTCGACGCAAGCTTTGCCTTCGCTGAGGCGTGATCTGACAGGCAGGATTTGGCCGAGTCTCCGCTAAAAGGCTCAAGGCTCGCTTGCTGCAACCAGTTTCAGGAGTGGGTAGTGAGCGCGCGCTCTACCTTGAGGTACAAGGAGCGTTTACTAACGTGGTGGTTGAAGCGGAGGGATTTCGGCTAACGCTCGAGAGGCAACGCTTGCAAAGTCCAAGAAGGTGTGGGCCTTTGAATCAGACAGCCGACGCCTATAGGGAGTCCAGACCGGCTGGCGGCTGACGATGAAAGCCTCTTTCTCTGCAGAAAATATTGGCTTTTCATTAAAAAAATCACCTGGCCGGACCTGGCGCTGCCCAAGACCGGCTGCAGTTGCCGGCGGTCAGCAGGCCGTTCGAGGATTCAGTTGGATAGAGCGTGGCCTGAGGCTGGTGGACCTTTGAGACCTGCCCGTCATGACCAAGCTCCAGCAACAAAGCCACTGCCAGTGGCACCCTGCAACTCTTGGCACTTCGAGCATGATGTTTTGACGGAGCAATTGTAGAGCCCTCTCTTGCTGGGGCACCTTGTCGAGCCAAACATCGTCTTTGCTAACCATGAGCTTGCCCAACGGCGGTGACCAGTAGAGGCCCGTCTCACAGCAGCGCATTCAGAGGCAGCGGGCCTTGAACGCAGCGAAAGGTTTGGCCAAGGATGCGCGCAGGAAAGCTCTGCTGCGCGAGCCTTGCAGAGAGAGTAGCGTATATATATTGCCCCTTGCGCAGCTATGTGTATATATTGATATATATATATATAGATGAAAGCAGGAACTTGTCTGTGTTCTATCGACAGCATGGCGTGCACGATGTCCTTGGTGTCAGGCCGTTCAGACCTCATGCTGACCTGGACCATTTTAGGCTCTCCCGTGAAAGGGGTCGACATCATTTTGCGCACCCCCTGTGGCCTCAAGCTCTTTACGCAATGCCTGTCAGCTAGGTTCCGGGGCCTTTCTTTGGCGCGTAAGTCACGCCCTGATCTTACTTTGACGTCAGCCGTACTGCATTGCAGAAAAGAGTGTGTTGCAAATCACGTGGGCTGAAGTCAGGCGCTCAGCCACATGTATCTATGGCTCAGCCGTTCTGTGTGCAACGCGCGCTTTCAGTGGCACGCTGAACTTTCAAGTCTATTGCGCTTGGCAACCTTTGTGTCATATCCATGTGAGTTCGGCCCTTTGGAGCCGAGAATCGGACCGGGAGACTATGGAGTGTCCCTTAGCTGCGCGTACAAAGTTAAGAGGAAATTGCGTGGCTTGAAGGCAATCTTTCGCGTGTAACATCAGTTGATCCATTATATGTGGCGCAAAACTCTTTCGTTTCGAAAAAGGAACTCACGCTTTCAGTCGCTCACCAATTGTACTTTTATGTGTCGCTTTTCATATTTTGATATGCCGGTACTTGAATGAGTGCATGGGCCTGCCTAGGGATGTCGAACTTCCACCATTGTTCTACTTGCCAACGTTGCGTGGGACCCTGAAAGGGCAGGGTGGACAGTGGACAGCTATAAATTTTTGCAGGCTCTGATTGTTTCTGCGTTGATTCCACCGGGCCAATTTGACGGATACTCCGATCTTTTTGGGCGATTGAGATGTGGCCGACAGCCTTTGACTCCGCAAACGGTTTTGCGCATACGTTGTGAAATGCTTGACCAAGGTTGCCAACTTTGATCATCACTGTGGCGTTTTTGGACGCTGCATTGCAGGGAGAGGATTTGGTGGAAACATGGGCGGCTGCCTCAGCCCGGTCCTGGACTTGTATTCTGAAAAGGTTTCGCCATCATATAAGTCAGATGGCAATTTGAATCGAAAGCGCCAACAAATTTTTAAATTTTCATGTTTCGATAGTTCAGTGTTTGCCGAGAAAGGTGTTGTTGATGTTTGGAGCGTTGAAAAAATCATTCCGTCGACAAATTCTCCTATTTTGCGAAGCATGTTTTGCGCCGACGCCTTGTCCCTAAATGGCGCGCACTGTTCCAAAGACACCACGGAACAGCGTGATGCCTGGCCTCCAAAGTGCACGGATTCAATTTACTTTATATTTGAAAAACGAACCCGAGTGCTTTCGTTATCTACGAAAAACAATTGTGCCAGCATAGGCCCCAGAGAGCGTGGTAGAAACCAACAAATTAAGCGAAACACATTGTATTATTGCTTAGGGGCATTGCGGCAGCAGCTATAGTCCCCACATTTGTTGCGGAGCATGCTGGCATCAATTCTTCAGTGGGGCGTGCCTTGGAGACAGCGCTTCACCAACAGACCCGTGTGGCCATCGCTTCTAGGTTGGAGGCCAAGTGCTTGCCCAGTTCCAAAGACACCTATAGACCGGGTGCGCCGACGGTCGGTCTTCATCCAGGTCTTTACCATTTTGACAATGCAACTTGTTTCGAGTAGCGTCCTTGTTACTACTAGTAAGGCACTTGTTACTAGTAGCGATGCACTTGTTACTAGTAGCGATCATTTTCAGTTTCTGCTGCCAGACTTGCTCGACTTTTTGATAGTGAAGCTACTAGGAACAAGTGCATCGCTTCTAGTAACAAGTGCCTTACTACTAGGAACAAGAAGCTATTAGAAACAAGAAACATATGGAAAATGGCCTTCCGCATTGCCCGAACTGCTAGGGGCAGCTTCTGTAGCCACGATCCTTTGCCTGCAGCAATGCGTCCAAGGCATTCCTGATCTTGTCCACAGTCAAAGGCTTCAATTTGAGACAGAACACGTGACGCGTTCGCATGACCACGTGTGCCCCACAGGCAGAGTAAGTATTCGAGGTTCCGGCGTGGCCAATGCCAATGACATATGTAATGCTCGAGCTTGAGCTTTGCTATGACGCCGCGGCTACACGTTTGCGTGGGTTTTGATGCCGGTGACTCGGCGGCTGCGTGCGAGGACGCTCTGGTGTTGAGGTGTTGATGTTGCCCTTGGCTGAAGGACCTTGGAACGCAAGGTGAGGGTCGAAATCACTCTCCAAGTAGTAACAAGAAGCTATTAGTAACAAGTGCCACGCTACTAGGAACAGGTGCCTTACTAGTAGTAACAAGGTTCGCTATTAGGAACAAAGCGCCGCCATGGCCCTTCGGAATGACGCAAAGCGCTCGATTTTTAGTGGTGCATCTGTCACTCTAACCGAACTGTTCGGTTTTTGGCAGCAAACATATGGAGGTGGGCGTGTGTGACTGATTAAGAAGGAAAAGTGCCTTCGGTTTATTTTTTCGTTTTGTTCGGGCCAGCTACTAGCCCTATCGGCCCTATATGGGCCCTATCAGGTGGTCGAATAAGAGAGCAATTTCGCTAGGTTGGAGGCCGCTTTTCGGTTGGAGAGCAATGCGGGTTGGGTTTATGGTGTCAGATCTGTCACATGCCGTGCTGAGGATTCTTCAAAACGATCATTGCTATGGCAATGGCCGGCGCTGTCACATGCTTTGCGAGCGTCATTGTACTCCTGATCAAGCAGGCGTGAGCCACATCAACTCTAGTAGCGTCCTTGCTCCTAGTAGTCAGGCCAGGAGCCCCTAGTAGCGTCCTTGCTCCCCACGCGTCATATCGGACTTTAAACTAACATAAGTTGGTGTGCTTTGCCAGTGTCAGAGTTTTGAAGGAGGAGGGGTCGCTTCTCGCTGTGATCCTCTTGGCCTATATGACCCCGGTCTTTCTTGGGTGCTGCGTTCTGTTATGCCGTTCCTGCTTGTTTGTAAATGGCCTCTTGGCGGTTCCATTCCGACGCGAGCGTTTGGTCGCCAGGCAGCATGATGTGGCCGGAGACACTTGCCTTGAACTCCAAAGTGACAATTCTGCACTAAATGTTTCTGTGCAACTTTGGGATTGAGGCAGGGCTGCTGTTCAAGTGGCTATGCCAGGGTGGTCCAGGCTTCGGGCCTAGAGACTGGCGTGCAGACAATCGGCAAAGCATAGCAAGCCATCAGCGTTTGGCAATGTTTTGCGCTTATTTTGCATACGTTTGCTACTAGGAACAAGTGCCACGCTAGGAACAAGTGCCTTACTAGTAGTAACCATGTTTGCTACTAGGAACAAGCTACTTTGCATACGTTTGCTATTGCAGGAGGATGGGAACCCGATTGGCCAAAGCGCCATGACCATTGGTGCATCAACCGAAATGCGTGACGCAAAGGTCGCCTAGAGCGAAGGAGAAAAGTCACGCTCGCCTAGAGCGAGTTGATATAAACGGAAACTAGTTGATGTCCTGGTCGAGGCCATTGATGTGGGGATCACTCAAAGTAGTTGCTGTCCGTGCAAGCGAATCCGAAGGCGAATGAGGAAATTGTTGCGGGAGTGCCATGGTTCAATCCGTACGTGCCGCTTCTTGAGTTCAATCCAAGCTTTTGTCTCAGCTGTTCTTCGGTGTTTGAAGCAGGTGCCAACAAGCAAAATGCAATTCGTTTGTCGTGGCTATTTGGGTTCAGACAGATTGAAACGACCACAGCCGGAAAGCTGGAAGGCCAGGTGATAAGATGTAGGGTTCAAACAGTGAAAAACATAAGCTACTAGGAACAAGTGCCACGCTACTAGGAACAAGTGCCTTACTAGTAGTAACAAGGACGCTACTAGGAACAAGTGCATCACGTAGCATTGAGATGCGAATATTTTTTGAGATCGACCTTGCCAGGCATGGAGGACGAAGATTTCTATGTTCGGTACTACGTCGGCCACAAGGACATTCAGATTCAATGTTTTAATATTGGCAATATGGAAAAAGTCCTCCCGTTTTTGATTTCAAAAACATCTCAAGAGAGAAACGGATTTTACTGCTCACAAACAACACAATTTTTTCAACATGGTTTGAATGCTTTACATTCCAATTGTCTCTCAATTGTTTTCTCCAATACTCTCAAGAAGCTACTAGGGGCTCCTGGCCTTACTACTAGGAGCAAAGACGCTACTAGGCGTTTTTTCTACAATTTGTTTCTCTGTTTCTAGTAGCTTCTTGTTACTACTAGTAAGGCACTTGTTCCTAGTAGCGTGGCACTTGTTTCTAGTAGCTTTTCTCTGTTCTCTTCCGGATTTTCAGGGCAAGTTCGGGCACGAATTCCTGGAGTTTGAATTTCGCCCTGATGGACGTTTGCGTTACGCCAACAATTCCAACTACAAGAACGATGACTTTCCTCCACGTTTGAAAGAAAACCATAGAAGACTATGCCTCAGACTATGCTTGAAAACACTAGCTAAGCATAGAATGCCTCAAGAAGGAGACCTGAATGTCTAAGCCAGGTGATGATCCGGAAAGAGGCGCATGTGACGCAGGCACCGCATGAAGCACTGCGATTTGGGTCATTTTCTGCTGAAACACATGTGAAGTTTGCAGCGCAAGGCCGTGATGAAGGAATTGCGAAAAATGATAGAGGACGACGGTAGTAACAGGTGCCTTACTAGTAGTAACAATGTTTGCTACTAGTAACAAGTGCCTTACTACTAGGAGCAAGAAGCTATTAGAATTAAGTTAAAATTAAATTAATAGCTTTTTGTTACTACCTGTAAGGCACTTGTTACTACTAGCGAGGCACTTGCTACTAGAGGACGATGGGGCGGATTTGAACGGACAAATGCGACTACGGATTGCTCCCAGTAGGGTCCATTGTTCCGTTCGTAGTAAGGCCAGGAGCCCGGAACGTAGCTTCTTGATTCTATTTCCAATTCTCTATGCATTTTCTTCTTCCTTTCTTAGCATCCTTTGTTACTACCAGCGATGCGCCTGTTACTAATAGCTTCTTGTTCCCTTCCTAGTAAGGCCCTTTGCCCCGAACGTAGCGATGCCCGCTCTTTCACCTTTTGGGTCAGGACAGCGAGATCCTAAAGGAAGATGACAATCATTGGCCAGCCCCAGACCGCATTGGCCGGCAGGAGCTGGAAGTGGTTTGTGGCAAGGACCGTTTGCAGAAAGTAGCTTCTTGTTACTAGTAACAAAGGGCATCGCTTCGAGTAACAAGTGCCTTACTAGTGCCTTACTAGTAGAAACAATGAAATAGTAGTAGAGGAGGCTACTAGGACCTTTTCGCGCGCGCGCGCGGGGGGGTAGGAGCAAAGGACGCTACTAGTAAGGCACTTGTTACTACTAGCGATGCACTTGTTCCTAGTAGCTTCTTGTGAACAGATTCCCAGTTTGCAAGGAACACATCTCATTCACTACATCCAAGATTGGATCACTTGCAGATGTGCAAGCGTCCAAGGACCTGTTATGCGTGAGAATGCAAAACGGATACCACACCAAATACAAAAGCCGAAGGAACTCATTAAACTAAATCAAAAAGGGTAATATTTTTTGAGTTATTAATAGCAATGGCCTCCAACCTAGAAGTGATGGCCTCCTACCTAATAGCGATGGCATCCAAAAAAGAATGAAGAAGAACCGGAACCAAATGAATAGAAGCGTGAGCTATCCTGCGTCCTACCTAGAAGCTAACATAAGCCTTTACTTATTAAGTAAGGAGGCAGGGCCACGGGCCAAAATGAAAATAACATGCAAAAGCGCTACTAGTAGCTCCTGGCATCGCTACTAGGAGCAATGTTTGCTACTAGGGGCTCCTGGCCTTACTACTAGGAGCAAAGACGCTACTAGGAACAAGTGCATCGCTTCTAGTAACAAGTGCCTTACTAGTAGTAACAAGTGCATCGCTACTAGGAGCAAAGACGCTACTAGGAACTGGAGAATATTTTGGACAAACCGATTCGACAGGATCCTGAAGGACTGAGAGTCTTCTACTACCTCGTCCAGGCGCGGTCTCCAACCTAGCGATGGCCGGCGATGGCCTCCAGCATAGAAGCATTTCCTCGTTTTTGCTTTTAGCTTTCAAGTGCATCGCTACTAGGAACAAGTGCATCGCTACTAGGAACAAGT